CATAGGGCTATATAAATTCTAATTGGAATCAGTTTGAATTGGGCAAGTGTATCCAGGCTGCAATTATCTTTTTGGTCCCTTAGGAACTGTGGGGTTAGGCTCTGCAATCCAGAGCCTTTGGAGTCCGATACTCTTACGCTGCGACTCAGCTTCCTGGACTTGTAGCAGAGAAACACAGCTTTGTGCTTGTGTGTGTAAGCATGCAGAAAACAGCACCTATACACAGCCACTTTCTAATCTAAGCAGCTTTATTTATGTACAGAAGCAAAAATAAATCATCCGTTCTGGGAGCGGCAGATATCGCTACTCCTTTCGTCTTGGTCAGAAAACGAAAGCAGAAAGACAAATAACAGATCCCGGATGTAGGGATCTCCACCCCTCAGTGGGCACAACACAAGACTCTGAGCTGTTTTAACCCTGTAAGCTCTGATTCTCCTCACACCCCCTCTTGTCCTGCACTGCTGGGGCTTGTAAGCATCAACACTTACCCCCAAAACAACCCTGCACAGAATTCACTGTGCCTCTGGAAACTCAAAGGTTTAGTAAACCCATCTGCCAGATTCTGCTGGCTTGGACAGTACTTCAGCATCACCAAGCCTGACGACATTCTGACACACATTTTGGAAACGTATGTCCAAATGTTTGGTTCTGGCCTTAAACTGGCCAGACTCTGCCAACTTCAGACAGGGTTGATTATCCTCCCAAACAGTGACAGGCAAACAACAAGCCCCGCAGATTTCTTGGACCAAACACGTGTAAAACTCTAGTTCTCTGCAAAGCTCTGACAATGCACTGAATTCAGCTTCAGTAGAGGAAAGCGCAATGAGACTCTGCTTTTGGGACTTCCACCCAACTAGAGTGTCCCCAAACTTTATTCCCATCCCAGGCACAGACTTCCTGTCTTCCAGATTCGCCCAGTCGCTATCAGTCCAGAATGTAAGCTTGGTTTCACCCTTAGCCAACAGTTTGAGACAGAAATCTTTGGTATCCTGCAGGCAACCCAGCATCCTCTTGATACCATTCCAGGCACTCACACTTGGCCTTGTAGCTTCCCTGCTGAGCAGATTGGTAGCAAATGCTAGCGTATGTCTGGTCTGCTCCACTGGGAGAGATACAGCAAACTACCCAGAGCTGACTGAAAGATCTCCGTGTTTTCGAACTCGGCACATTCCCCTAGCTGACTGTCTTTCACGTAGCTTGTCTCCATGGGTGTACTGACCCCTGCACATTCAGACATTCTGAACTTCTCAAGCAACTGCTCAATCTGGCCTTTCTGACTGAGCAAGAAGCTTCCGTCCTGGGACCTATCTATCTGGATGCCTAGGTAAACTTTCACTGGATCTAGGTTTTTGAGTTGGAAATGTTTTCCAAGCTCTGTGGCAAACCCTTGAACCTATTTCCCTGTCTTTGCCACATAGATTGTATCATCCACAAAAATCAAGACCACCTCTTGTGACTCTCCTGACCGATTGCTTCAGACCGTAAATGGACTTATGAAGCTTCCACACTGCATCTGGCCTATTGCTCTCAAGCCCTGGAGGAGGATGCATGTACAGATCCTCCTGGAGGTTTGAGTTCAAATAGGCTACATCCACATCAAAGTGATGCACCTGATGACCTCTCTGTGCAGCAATGGCTAAGAGCATGCACAGACTTTTACTTCTGGAAGTAGGAGCATACACCTCAGTGTAAGGCAGCAGTTCCACTGCGTAAACCCTCTGGCTACCAGCCTAGCCTTGTACTGCGGTTCTCCAGTTGCTGTGGGTTTAAGACAGTAAACCCGGCGGCTGCTCACGGCAGGCTTGCCTGCTGGCAGCGTCGTGATGGAGAACACACCTAGAGACTCCATTGAGTTCATTTCCTTCTGCATTGCCTCTTGCCACTTCCTGGCTTCCTCTTCAGGCAACTTCTGAACTTCCTCAATACTCTCTGGTTCACACTGAGCCACACCAATCCACACACTAGTGACCTCAAACCTTTCAGGTGGTTTTCCTTTAGTAGTTACAGATAGGTAGCCGTGTTGGTCTGCCATAGTCAAAAAATAAATAAAATAAAAATAAAAATAAAAAATAAAAAAAATAAAAAAATAAAAAAATTCCTTCTAGTAGCACCTTAAAGACCAACTAAGTTAGTTCTTGGTATGAGCTTTCGTGTGCATGCACACGCATGCACAGGTATCTGAAGAAGTGTGCATGCACACGAAAGCTCATACCAAGAACTAACTTAGTTGGTCTTTAAGGTGCTACTAGAAGGAATTTTTTTATTTTTCCTTTAGTAGTGTGAGCTGAACACCTCAGCACAACCTCAGGTACGCCCTCTGACCCACTAGGGCCAACTAGTGTGTCCTTGCTCTCCCCTCTGACTTACTGCGCATTCTGGATTTTTCAACTGGACTTGTGGGTGAGGAGGAGCACTCTTTGGCTCTAGCTTAACAGCTTTAGGAGATGCCCTTTCCTGTTCCTGCTCTGGGTTGGGACTCTGAGCCTCAGCAGCAGGATCAGTTTCTACCTTTCCTTCATCAGCAGAGTCAAGCAGACTCTCTGAAAGAATGTCTGGATTCCCATGTATGCATTTCCACCCACTCTGCTCACAGAACTCAGCACTCCTGCTGACTAGAATCCTAGACTGATTGCCTTCTGGATAGGCAAATCTCCACCACTTGGTCCCTGGCTCATACCCACAAAGGATCATTCTCTGGGACCTAGGGCCACCCTTTCTGTGTTTGGCACAAGGACCCATGCCTCACATCCAAACACACAGAAGAAATGCACCTTGGGCTTAGAATAGCATCATAGAATCATAGAGTTGGAAGAGACCACAAGGGCCATCGAGTACAACCCCCTGCCAAGCAGGAAACACCATCAGAGCACTCCTGACATATGGTTGTCAAGCCTCTGCTTAAAGACCTCCAAAGAAGGAGACTCCACCTTGGCAGCAAATTCCTCTGTCGAACAGCTCTTACTGTCAGGAAGTTCTTCCTAATGTTTAGCTGGAATCTTCTTTCCTGCAGTTTGGATCCATTGCTCCGTGTCTGCTTCTCTGGAGTAGCAGAAAACAACCTTTCTCCCTCCTCTATGTGACATCCTTCTATATATTTGAACATGGCTATCATATCACCCCTTAACCTCCTCTTCTCCAGGCTAACATGCCCAGCTTCTTGCTGTGCAGCAGAAAATAGGGCGTGTCCCCTACTACAGAACTGTAAGAACGGTTCAGAGTGAATGATGTGGATTTCCACGCTTCCACCCAAAACCGCTGGGGCAACCCTGTGTCAAAGAGCATGGCTTTGGTTGCCTCCTGCAGCATTCTCTACCTGCATTCTGCAACTCCATTCTCCTGAGGAGAATTTGCTACAGTCAACCTGTGGTGTATGCCTTTCTGGCAGAAGAAGTTCTGCAACGCAGACCTGGTGAACTCTCCACCGCGATCTGATTGAAAGCCCTTGACCCGCAGTAAGAACAGTAGTTCTCACTGCTGTTATCCAGTCTTTCACCACCAAAGCAGCAGCCTCTCACTTGTGCTTCAGAGAGAAAATCCACCCATTTCTGGAATAATCATCCACCAGATAGCACAAATTTGGCCCCACCCAGACTGGCAACTGGCAAAGGGCTGCAAAGGTCTGCATGGACTAGCTCAAAAGGTTTTGTGGTTACTCTGTCAGACCTAGGATAAGAGCACGTCTGAACCTTGGCTTTCTTGAAGGCACCCTGCATTCCAGGTATTTGTCACATGCCTTCATCTTGCACCCCTCAGTGCACCCTGGGACCTTCTTTACGTACCCCCAGTTGATATGTGACATTCTCCGGTGCCAAACACCATGATGGCACCCATCATGAATGGGAAGGTTACCACACTGTGCTTGTGCATCCTCAGTGGGACCTTTACGTGCAATAGGCGATTTTAGCACAAACAGCCTGTCTTTGCACTCAACACTGACCAGTTGTCGCCCACCTCTGGAAATGGAATAAACATTATTTTCAAAACACACTTTGAACCCAACATGGACAAAAGAGGAAACAGAAAGCAAACAGCACTGCATCTCTGGAACGACATAGGCCTCAATCTCCGCCTGTAAAAAAGAACAATAAACAGAGCCAGACATAGCGCTTGGAACCATCTGCAAGAGTTACACTTCTTCCAGTTTTCACAGCCTTGCAGTTCCACAAAAAACCACTAGATACCGATGACATGAGGTGGTGACTGGCCCCACTGACAATCACCCAGCTCAGCACGTGGCCCTGGTCGCAGTTTTTCACTGTTGCCATAGCAGCAGCCAAATGATACTGTGACGACATGTCTCTGCTAATTTCCTTGAGACCTTTTGAGGCTTCCCACACTTGGCAGCTCCTGTTATCTGGTTGCCAAAGAAAACATCCTGTGGCTCCACTGGACAATTCCGGACCAGGGGGAATTCAGAGCTGCACCGGAAACGCATCGGGAAGAAAAAGCTTTCAGTCTCTTCACTTCTCCCTTCTGCCCCACTCTTGGGTGCAGCACAGCCTGGGCCTGCTCGACCTCCAGCTTTCTGCCTGCAATGCCTATAATGGCAGCAACTTTTTAAAAAAGTAATATTTTGAGCTCGTAGTTCAATTTCAGAGCAGCTCCCCTTGCTCAGGAGAACACTTCTAGCATTCCATCTCCTCTACCTGTGGCATTGTTCAGCAGTGGGGAAAGTGACCTCTTCACACCGGATGTCCATTTGGTATGGCCCATTCCAGGTTTTTTCCTGCCCCTTGTGTTAGTCTTTCATTTGTTCTCCTATGTGTGTTGCCAGTAGAAACCACAATTCTGTGGGTACTCTAGGCGGTGCAGAAAGTTGGCAGCTATTCCCTACACCCACAGGTCTCAGGATGGTTACAACATAAAAAAAACAAAATAAAAACACAAAACACCACATTTTAAAAGGGCATTAAATGTCAATCAGCCAAAGGCCTGGTTAAAAAAGTGTGGATTTGCCTGGCTCCTAAATCTGTACAATGGTTTTTCTAACCTTTGTATGGATTCTTTGATGGGAAGTAAGATTGGCCCTCTGACTGAAGCTTTTTCCACATTCCACACACTGATATGGTTTCTCCCCTGTATGAATTCTTTGATGTGAAGTGAGATTGTGGCTGTGACTGAAGCTCTTTCCACATTCCACACACTGATATGGTTTCTCCCCTGTATGAATTCTTTGATGGGAAGTGAGTTTGGAGTTCTGAGTGAAGCTCGTTCCACATTCCACACACTGATAGGGTTTCTCCCCTGTATGAATTCTCTGATGCTTAGTGAGATAGGAGCTCTGAGTGAAGCTCTTTCCACATTCCACACACTGATGGGGTTTCTCGCCTGTATGAATTCTCTGATGCTTAGTGAGATAGAAGCTCTGAGTGAAGCTCTTTCCGCATTCCTCACACTGATAGGGTTTCTCCCCTGTATGAATTCTTTGATGGGAAGTGAGAGAGGAGCTTTCAGGGAAGCTCTTTCCACATTCGACACACAGATAAGGTTTCTCCCCTGTATGAATTCTTTGATGGTAAGTGAGATTGGTGATCTGACGGAAGCTCTTTCCGCATTCCACACACAGATAGGGTTTCTCCCCTGTATGAATTCTTTGATGGTAAGTGAGACCGGAGATCTGACTGAAGCCCTTTCCGCATTCCACACACTGATAGGGTTTCTCCCCTGTATGATTTCTCTTATGGGAAGTGAGATCGTGGCTCATTCTGAAGCTCTTTCCGCATTCCACACACGGATAGGGTTTCTCCCCTGTATGAATTCTTCGATGTGAAGTGAGATCGGAGCTCTTCCTGAAGCTCTTTCCACATTCGACACACTGATAGGGTTTCTCCCCTGTATGAATTCTTTTATGTGAAGTGAGAGAGGAGCTTTGAATGAAGCTCTTTCCACATTCCACACACTGATAGGGTTTTTCCCCTGTATGAATTCTTTGATGGGAAGTGAGATGGGAGATCCAACTGAAGCTCTTTCCACATTCCACACACTGATAGAGTTTCTCCCCTGTGTGAATTCTTTGATGGGAAGTGAGAGAGGAGCTCTGGCTGAAGGTCTTTCCACATTCCATGCGCTGATAGAGTTTATTTCCAATGAGATTTTGTTGATGGGAAGTGGAATTGGAGCTCTGATTGCAGCTTTCTCCACACTCTAAATTTTTACACGGCTTCTCCTCTCTGGGGATTTTATCGTGGTCACCTTTGTTCTCAATTTTCGATTCATCACAATCTGCAATGGAGACAAAAAAGGATTAGAGCCTCAGGAACAAATGGAGAAGAACTGAAGGAAGTTGGGCTTGTGTTCATTACCTGTGTTGTTTGTCATTAACCATCATATTTATTATTATGTTCTGATGAGTTGTTGAATGTTGGTTTGTTTGGTATACAGTAGTGGTCAAAATTGTGGAAGACTTTTGGAAAAAAGTGTATTTCAGAGTTTTGATGGCTTATAACACCACTTCATTTGGAGTAATATCATAAAATAATATATCAATGGAAAGATAATTTAATCAAGACTGCAATTCAACAAAGATTGTTCAATTACCCATATTCTATCAAATATTATAGTCAAATAACCAGAAAAAGGAAGCACAACTTGCTTAGGTTGACTTTTGTCAGTGTGTTATGTGATTGCTGTCAAGTTGGTTTTGTTTTTTTGTTCTTTCATTTAGTGAGGTTGTAAAACATAATAAAATTATAGAAATGGCACAAAGAGTTGACTGGTCACCCAGAAAGCAATGTAAAATTGTAGTATTAAGTGAACAGGGCTACAGTTATGAAGAAATTAGATGAAAGATTGGGGAAAACTTAACCAAAGCTGGCATTTCGATATTATTGAAGAGGTATAAGGAGACTCAGCAACTATAAAATCAGACTGGTAAAGGCAGGAAAAGGTGCACAAAGGCAAGTGACGATCGAAGAATAGAGAGACTGTCCCTACATGACAGAAGAAAATCATTTTGGTGTATACAAGATGACATGGCGAGATGTAATGTGAAGTTGAGAGCAAGGACTGCTCTAAATGTTAGAATTCTAAGGAAAAAGCCATTGTTATCTCTCAAGCATGAGTTTAACCAAATTGCGGGAGGCAGTGGAAGACAATAGGACCTGGTGTGCTTTGGTCCATGGGGTCACAAAGAGTCATACACGACTAAACGACTAAAGAAAATCTCTCAAGCAAAGGTTGAAAAGATTTTTTTAAAAAAATAAATTTTATTAACCGGCCAATCACATCAAATCAAACCACATCACATAAATTCCAAATTACAGAGCCGAATTTTTTAATTTTGTTGGGGGGTCCCATACTTCCAGATCCGAGAAAGGATTCTGATCTAATCCTTACTTCTGCATTAATGTCCAAATCAGTCCAAATAGATGTTCAAACAGTCCAAACACATATTCATAGTTCTTTCCAATCTTATCTTGCTGTTTCCATATCACTTCTTAATCATATATTTTCTCTTTGTCCTTTATGGTCTCTTCTGATGGTCTCCTTAAGCCAATAAACTCCGATAATACTCCTGTGTGGATTTCCCGTCGTCAATCCTCAATTCCAGTTGGTTCCCATAAATCGTCACCTTTGGAGATAAGATCACTTTTTCCCTCGTAAATTATAGCTCTGTCGCTCTTAAGACCTCTTTGAGGAGTTTCTCCCACGATGTAAGAACGCTCTCTTTCACTCTTCCTCCTCCCGGACTTAGTCCTCCGACAGAGCTTCCCAAAATGGCGACGGGATTTTTGACTGCGTCAGAACAAAGCTCTTATACATTCCACAGTCTTCTAGAAACATGCTTTGGTTCGAAAGTTTATCTCCACACAGCCTTAGATTCACAGCTTAAGTCCTTAAAACCTCATTTCTGGCTTTTGCCTCTTGAAGGGAGGGGATTCTTGGGTTTAATCACATAAGTAGGAAAATAAAACATTTTCCCCCTCCCCCATCAGTCCTTTGCCATACCGTATCTTGACGTGTCTTCTCATAATTTAAATCTTATTTTTCCAGAGACCTCTTCTGTTGCAGTCTTCACTCCTCCTCATTTCCTGAAGCATGTGCATTCCTTCGTGCCAAATTGTTTCTTTTGAAGTTCTTGCAGCTAGTGGCGCAGGTCAGAGACAGCGTCCAGGAGTGCCGAGATCCCACAGGAGGGCTTTTGTGCCTAATGCCCCCATCCCCCTCAAAAAGTCGGGGGTGATATCGGGCACAGCAGGCAAACGGCCCCACTCACCGTCTTGAGTGTGTAGGGAGCCTAATTACTCCCAACATAGCCTCCAAATTACCTCCTGTGCGTCGGAGAGATGTTATTGTCAGCCATCTTCCTATGCGCCCCCTAGTGGCCCCCCGCAAAGGTTGAAAAGATTAAACCCATGTTAATTGGACACGGAACAATGGGACAATGTTTTTGGAGGGATGCGACCCAAATCTCCTTGCTTGGTAGTGATGCCATGAAATACACAAGGGGAAGAATCAGAGAAGATTTACATGCTACTTGCATTACACCAACCGTGAAACACCCAGATAGTGTGATGATCTGAGGTTGTATGGCAGCAAAAGGTGTGGGCAGAATTTTCATCATTAAAGGGAATGGAAATGCCCCCAAATAAAAAATGAAATACTTTAGCCCAAACTGAAGCCTTCCGCAGGTGATCTTTTATTAAGTTTCATATTACCGAATTAAACACATCAAACCAATTAGTCCAAATTATAACAATGCATATCATGTAATCCAATTATTTTCCAAATTATAAATTTTTGTGGGGGGTACCCATGCTTCTTGATCGGCAGGAGTCCGATCCTCGAATATTTTCTGCTGCTTTCATATTAAGAATGATATTTCCAGTCCCTTCTTCTCAATCCTTGTCGTTACTCATTTTCCTTTTCATTCACCTCCAAATTGCTCCGCAAGTGGCTTGAAAGAAACAGTCTTGTTTGTATTTCTGTGTGGGCTTTGTACTGCTCTCTCGTAAATCCCAATAATCCAGGCATTTCCGCTCGAGCAAGCAATCGCCTTCTTGTTGTTCCGATGAAATACAGTCCAAAAGCTCGCTCTTTAACTTTCCCGACCTGTTGCATCGTAAATTAGTCTTTTTCCAGGAGGGCTGCCCCTTCCAGTTCACAATCTCATCAAAAGTAATAAATCTTCGGCTCGCCCTCCCCAAGACCAAACCTCCTGCAACACAGGTCTCGTATCAAATCTCCATTCTAACTGCGTCACAAAGAGAGCCCTTCTTTCCAAATCCTTTACAGACTAAAACCTTTAAATTCATATTATTCCCACACAGTTCCTTTTTAGTCCCATTTGCCAATTAGTTGCTGTGATAGATATTCTAAGAGGGAGGGTTATTAGTTAATCACATAGAGCAAAAAAAGATAAAAAGTCATTCCCCCCCTTTAGTTCTGTTGCACTCCAATCCACATACCAGCATGTCTGTAGTTCTTTGATGTAATCTTCTGTCTCAGTCTTCTTCATTTCAGTGGTAAAATTGTTAGCAGATAAAAACCTCCTGCCTCTCTTGAAGCCTGTGCGTTATCTTTCACCAATTTTTTTCCTTTTAAGTAACACAACTAGTTTCGCTCCTGGAAGTAGCTTTGGAGGAGTTCCGAGGCCCGCCGAGGGTTGTGCACCCAGTGCCTCACCCCCTCCTTCTTCCAAACTGGGGGGGTTATTTATGGCAACAGCGGGTGAAAACTGCATCTCTCCCCCCTGGAGAGATGAGGGAGACTGATTTACTCCCCATAATCAGCCTCTAATTACCTCGTGGGAGCTGGATAGATGTTAATATCCGCCATCTTCCAAGGCGCCCCTAGCGCCCCCCTCCTACTTATATATTTATTTTCTATTTCAACAGGACTCAGCTCCATGTCCTGTTGCTGCTGTGTGAAAAAGGTGCTTTCAAGATAATCCTATTCAACTGCCGGAATGGCTTGGGAATAGCCCAGACATTAACCCAATCAGAAATCTATGGAGCCAACTAAAGAAAATTCTTTGTTAGAAGCAATCCAGCAATAAATCCAAATTAACAGAGGCAATAATTCAGTCTTGGTTTCACATTCTTACAGGGGCAGAACTAAAAATTTGGTTCACTTCATGGGAAAGCGTTGTAAGGCTGTAATTAAAGCTAAAGGTTACCAATGGTTACCAAAAGTTTCACGTTTTTTCTTTATGACTGCTGTTCCAATAAATACTCCTTCATAAAAGTCATTGCATTACATTCTTCATTAAATTATCTTTCCATTGATATATAATTTTATGGTATTATTCCACACAAAAGTGGTGTTATGAGCCATCAAACCTCAGAAATACACTTTTCACAAAAGGTTTCCACAATTTTGGCCACCAGTATAAGTTATTCATTTTAAGTTAATGTTCTTTTTATATAGCATCAGAATATTATTATTCATGTTTCATGTTTATATATGTGTTGGAAGCCACCCAGAGTGGCTGGGGCAACCCAGTCAGATGGGAGGTAGAAATAAAAATGTCAGCTTTGTTCCGGAGCTGACAGAGGCTGGAATGTATGAAAGCAAGCAAAGAGAGATAAGGACACTGGAATGTGAGCCGGAATGTGAGAGGGAGGAGGGGCAGCCGAGTGGCAGAGCTTCAGAGAACAGAGAGCAGGCAGCAGATAGCAAAGATCCGCAAAATACGAATCTTAGCTCAGAGACAGAAGGGGAGAGGCCAGGAATGGCTAGCCCAAAAACTAGAAGGCTAGAAAATGTCAGTGAGAGGAGGGGGAAAGAGCAGAAGCGAAAGGGTTTTTCCCCCTCTTGGAAGAAGAGGAAGGGGCAGAGTTTAGACTTGGCAACTGCAAACTTGGAAGTCAGACATGGAGTGAAAGAGCTCCGGAGTGATTTATGTGTTTGAGCAATAAACCCGAGATAATTACTGCCGGTCTCTCGCTTCTGTGGGAGAGCCAAGCCATTACAAAAAATTATTATTACTACTACAGTGGTACCTGTTCTGGAAAAAATAAGTTTGTAAACCGAGGTACCACTTTATCATCCTCATCCTCATCACTGCTACTGCTACCTGAGATTCCATAAGCCTAGCTCTTCTCTGGGATGGATTTTGTTTGGCCC